AATTAATTTGAGAAAAATATTAGGCACGGCATGACATACCTGTAATTCTAGTACTCAAAAGGCTGAGTCAGGAGGATTTTGCGTTTGAGACCAGCTAAAGTTATGCAGTGAATATTAGGCTATCCTGAGTCATGTAATAAGAGCCTGTCTCAATGTGCATTTCCTATGAGCTTCCCCAGAACATATCTGTCCCATCAGTGTGGATGGAGCACACTGTCAGTATTCTGAGAGTTTATTGATGTGTGCCTTCCAGCGCCTGTCAGGCCCACATGCAAAGGAGTTATTTCTAGTCCCAGGATTTGGAAAGAACTCAACAATCCTAGATTTCATGGTATGGAAATCAAGAAACCTCGAAGTCACTGATGCTTGAGAAATACTCCAAAGGCAATATAAAGGCCACCAGAAAAAGACCCATCTAGGCATGGTTTAAAAGTGACCAAAACATGAAAGTTAAATATAAAAAAAAAAAATAAATAAGAAAACAAGTCCAGTGATCCTGAAGAACATTTATATCAAAAGTACATTAAAGAGGAAACTCTATGAAGAAAACATGGAGACTAATAAAATCATGTCTATCATATACTATGAGTAAATAAAAATGCAAGTGGATATTTGCATATAACTGCAGATACTATTTATGATCATATATTGAGCTACCTTTTATATTTTCTTTAAAATACCAAATAGTTGAGCTGTATATGCTGGAGAAATTGTTACTGTATAAGTACAATGTGTATTATTATAAAATGTTTCTACAGGTAACTTGATTAAGTTAATCTTTATGCTATAGTTGCAATCCAAAGTAATTAGTCTAAGCATCTAATGATAGCTATAGCTAAAATCAGAAAACTTAGCTGGAGAGATGGCTCAGCTGCTAAGAGCACTTGCTACTGTTACAGAGGCCCCAGGTTCTGATCTCAGTAACACATAATGGTTCACAACTATGTCTCACCCCAGTTCCAGGGGATCTGATGATGCCCTCTTCTGGCCTCCACAGGCACATACACACATGCAGGCAAATACACACATAAAAATAAAATTTGAAAATCAGAAAACAGATGATCATTGATTTCATGATGTACTGGGCTAAAAAATAAATAGCATTTCTCACCAAGGAATAGTGAGAAATACTTGGGAAATCCACTAATTAATACAAAACGTAATCAGAAATTTAAAACCGTTGTCACAAAGAGCTACTGTATCTGTTAATGATCTTACCACCTCTTGTCACTAACACATCTCATTATTCCATTTAAATCACATAGCCTTTTAAATCTCTCTCTCTCTCTCTCTCTCTCTCTCTCTCTCTCTCTCTCTCTCCCTCCCTCTGTGTGTGTGGGGGGGTGTTAGAGAGAGAGTGAGTAATATTCCAGTGAAATGATGAAATGATTTGATGAACTTCATGTTTGTCCTTTTCTGTCTCCCCCACCACCTCAGCACACATCTTTAAGACTCCCAGTGGGCTCAGTGGCCAACAGTGCTCGGTGGCAAGTGTTCCCAACCCTTGACACTCTCATGTCCCATCAATAGCAAGATGTTCACAAGTAAATAAATATGCCCAATTTTTGTTATTACTCTAAGAGACTGACCTTAGTAACTTTCCCTTTGATAGACACCAAATTAAAGCCTTTTGGTGCTTTTTAGTTGAGATTTTGATGTTTATGGGCAAATCCTAACCCAAAGAGCAGTGCCAGAGACCAGGACCAAAAGGTAAAGTGTCACATTTATCCCGACATGTGAAGAATATTTACCCAGCTTAATCACTGCCATCTACAGATACTCTATTTGTGCTTCACTGTGGATTTTTGTTTCACTTCGAATAGCATACACCTTTCATTTTCAAAACCAAGGGCTACAGTTGTTCCTCACAGCTCTCAGAGGACATGGATGGTTAGTGTTAATCGTCCGTTTGCCAGATCCAGTGTCACCTAGGAGATGGGCCTCTGGGTATGGCTGTGGGGCTTATCTTGATGATATTAACTGATGTGGGAATAACTTATCTTAGTTGTGGGTAAGATCATTCCCTAGACAGGGGATCCTGGACTGTGTACGTGGATGAAGAGAGCTGAACAACAATTGAATTCAGCTTTGTTTCCCACTTGTGGGTATGATGTGACTGCCTACTTCAAACTCCTGCCACTTATTTTTCCTGCCATGATGGACTGTGCCTTCAACTGTGATATAAAATAAGATGATTTGGTTCTTCCATCAGAGTGTTTTATTACAGAAAAAGAGAAACAAAATTAAGATGGAGGAAAATACCCCTCACTGGGTCTTCCTCACAACAATTTAGGTAGAGCTAGCCTAGATTAGAATGGCAGGCTCCACAATGGAAGGGAGTAGAGTTTAGGGTTAGAATGAGAGTGGCTAGGCATCTTCTTGGTCTCAAAGAATATATTAGTTTTGTTATAACACAAACACACTCACACAACAAAACTAGAAAAGCTCTAAAGTGAGATTTGGTGTACCAGGAGTCAAAAAGGATTGCCTGTTTGTTCATCAAATGTATTTCATATATTTTTTCTTATAAGTATCATTCTTAAGACATAGATGGGCAGTATATTGCCTGTTGTCTAAGGTGAGAGAATTTGGAAGGACTTTGTCATAATGTGAACAACCATTAAAAGGGTCTAGTAAGATTTTGCTAGGAGAAGTTACCTAAAAAAGTATCATGTGACCCACCTGAGACTAATCTGTAAACCATTCTTAGCAATGAGTACAGATACAGGTTTTTATCTGGTATATGGTTCCAGAAATAATCAAGAAAGCATGCCTTGATGTACCTGATACCTTTAGAACTTGGCATCAGAGTTTAGCCAATTTCATCAACAGACTCAGGTATTCCTCACCTGTCCACAGCCTATCTCTGCGGATGGAAAGAAGAAATCATTGCAAACAAATTATCAAAATGAACATTTATTTGTCAGGTAAGAGGTTAGTAGTGAAAAGAAAGTAATAATTTCCCTGTTTCCCCAACATTTTGGTCAATCATTCCAGGTTGCATGCATTGGCCTGGGGTTGCATGTGTTGGCAGAGGGTCTCTTGCTGCTGAGACCGACAGGAAGCTGGCAGATGGAGATAGTGGTGTCACAGGGCTTGAGTTCACTTGACATTCAAACATGTGGATTACAAACTATTCATTGAAATAACCTAGCCTATGGCCTGGGATTCATTTACTGATATTTGCCATTCTTCTACTGTCAAGAATAAGATCCTATTCTTTATATTTCTCTCTCCTAAAGTTTGCTTAAGTGTAGGTTACTCCTAGATGTGCATTAGATCATTTACCCCCCAAAAAAACATTTCATTAGAATCCAAAGTTGCTCACAAGTGTATTAATTAGCTTCTCTTAATTACCAAATTCCAGTAATACTAAAGACTAAATAAATTCTTCAAAATAAAAACAAGATCAACATCTAAGGCTGAATGTACACATTACATTTCCAAGGCAAGATAGTTAAAATGTAATTGCTGAAAAAATGTTTTGTTTTATGAAATACAGATTATTAATAAATATTTGCTATATTATCATTAAAGCCATCATCAACATCATTCTTATCATCTATATGTAGAAGAACCACACAACTCATATTTAGTTGGGTGGAAAATATGAATAGTTCTACCATTACCTTACTTATAATTCCACCAAGCCAAGACAGCAAGTGTGTATCATCATTTCATTACTAAAGCTTGCTGTTTTAGCTTATGACTATATAAACAAATATAACGCTTAGTATACTGTGTGCAATGTCTAGTATCTGTACAATGTTATAATTCCTACCATCACAGTGAAAACATTATAGTAATCTTCCCCCATTGCCTCATTTGGAATTTACAGCTATCATATCTACACTTAAATTAAAGCATTATAAATGCATCCACACATCCACAGTACCCATTAAACTTCCCTTTATTATAAACTTTTTGCCCTCTCCATCTTCTTTCTTCATCTAATATCTCTGTCTTGTGCTAAGAACTCTGGTGATCAGATTGCAATGAAATGTGTGCACAGATACATTTTCATTCTCAAGACTTGTTATCTTGTAGTAGCAACATAAATATGATTTTGAAGTAAAAATCAATGTTATTTTTGGGAGACCACAACAAGACCATAACAGGATAGACATACTGATTTCTGCCGCTGTGAACATACTATGTATTACATGCTGCTCTAGAATTTAGAAAAATTAGCAAATGTGTAGAATCAGCAAAAGTATTTATAATTTGGAAATTCACATTAAGATTAACATTTCCCAGTTTACTTTGAACATGAGGTCACTCCTGTTTTCATATAATTCCTTAAGTAACAACAACTGCTTTAATAACAAAGATATGTTCCTTTCATTTAAGAAAGTTGAGAAGTGAGACATGGTGGTGCAAGTCTTTAATTCTAGAATGTGTAAGGCAGGTGAATCTCTATGAGATCAAAGCCAGCCTGGTCTATATACAAGTTCCAGACCATTAAGTTCCTATTTCAAAGAGAAAGTAACGATTATGTATTCAAGCTGTTGGGGCTGGAAAGATGGCTCAGCGATTAAGAGCACTTGTCTGGCACAGGACCCAGGTTTACTTCCCAGGACCCACATAGTCGCTCACAATGACCTGTAACTCTAGTTCCTGGGAATTGGATACCATCTTCTGACCCAAGTGCATACCAGGCATACATGCAAACAGAATACCCATACACATAAAGAAATCTAAAAAATAAGCTGTGAGATGTTTTTCTCTCTGTAACTTTAGATTTTTATTTAATCTCCTATCAACATTTTGCCCATCTTCTGCCTGTTTGGGTTACCTTGATATTAGATATTATGAACCTTCCCTGTGAAATATAATGATATATTTTTTGCCTGTGAAATTAACTATTTGATTTCAGTTAAAATGTTTGAGACTATTAGTTTTGATTACCAGTGCTGTAAACATTGACAACAAAAAAGATAGGTTTATGTTTTCTAGCCTGTGTGCCAATTGTCACAAAGACAGTACGCTTAAGGAGCCTTTCATATATGTTCATCAGTACTTAAAAAAACCCAGCAGAAGAACAGTGACTTAGTAAAAGACTCCAAGAATCTCTGAAGGGAGATGATCACCTCTCGAACCTGGCTTGTAAGACGCTGAAAGCCCTCACTGCTGTCTGCCGAAGCTTGCTGTTTCCCACAATCAGAATAAATGAGTGGCTCAAAGGAAAGATAATTAATGTCAACAAAACAAAATTACTTGACCTGTTGTTTGGGAAAAAAATAAAAAACCAATGTGCCAGCTGCATGAAAAAAATATGAAGTATAAAAAGAATGAGGAAATACAACAGCATTTTCATGGCCTTCTTGTGGACCTTCGTTCTAGAATCTTCAGAGCTGGTGGAAATGAGGTGGAGGTTTCTGGAGTGTCTCACCAAGGACAAAAATAAAAGGAACAATGATGCCAGGGACACAAAAAAATGGGACCAAGTACATCAGGTCAAAAGCAATTAGGGTTTTAACAGCAATAACCTTGGTTGTATCTGAAAATAAAGTCAGATTACTTCTAGTGATTATGTAAATTTCCCTCAAAATAGGAAGTGCTTCAAGCAGTAGAAAATGAAAAATCAGTAGGAGCAAAGAAAACACAAGAAAGATAACAACCACAATTCTCATTCTCCACTTCAACCAGAGGAAAAGGGGATGGGAGAAGTGGGCAATTTTGAGGAAGTAGAAAATGCTGAGGCAGGTGGCAAACCATGTAGACAGTTGATCAGTCACAATCCATAATGGATCAGAGCATTTTGCTGGACTGTAAGAATCGTAGGAATGAGGAGCTACTTGTAGTATGGTTGCATCAACAAATACCACAAGCAGAGAGCTGATTCTGGAAACTGCCAAGCAGATCAGGATGAAGTTGATGAAGGTGATTTTCTGGTTCTTGACCCAGTCAGAAAAGTTTACCAATCCAATGAACACATTCCCAAGCATTCCAGTGGTGAATCCTGCTGTTACCAGTATCATATACATTTGATCCGATCTGGCAAGCAGTCTTAGAGAAAAGAGGGACCCACACTTCTACCACTTTGCCTTGCAGATCAGCTCTGAATCAAACTTCCTCACACCATCACCTTCTTTCCTTTTTTTGTAATTTCAGCTTTGATCAGAACCTCCTTCCTCTGGCTAGTGCTTCACCGATACTTGAGGAAATTCTAAATCTTGGGTACTTTCTCTTTTATTTAACTTTAATCCCACTCCTAATCCATAAAGATATGTTTATGAATACAGTCTCATATATTTTTATTCAAAGGGCTTTTTAAAAGAATCTTTAAATTCTAATCCAAACAGTCTCTATCCCCACATAATCGATGGTGTGGCCTTAAATTTCCCCCTGAAATAATGATTGAAAAAAATAAAGTCAAATATATTAAAATACAAATTTGAATCAGATTTTTTTTCACTGATTTGTGTAATGCTTTCCTCCTTGTCTGAAATACTACACTCTCTGGAACTAGATATCTTGGATCTTATTCAAAGACTATTTTTAAAAGTTCTCAATAATTTAGTTATATTGTCCGTAACTTGTATTATATTTGCTATGTATTTGACTGTATACAAAAAAAACAATTTTAAAAAAGCATTAAGAAATACATAGAATAGTGACAACAGAAAGAATGGGAGAACTTAACAATGTAGCATACAAACACAGAAAAAACTATAATCTGCAATCATCCTTCTAGGGGAGAAAAGAGAGACATGACATTTGGATCTTGAATATACTTAGAATTTATGAAGAACTAACAAGTTAGATTTTTGGGCCAGCTAAGGAGTCTATAAAAAGATACCCAAATAAAACTACATTTCTGAGAATAAAGCATTGCAACTGGTAATTTGCTGTAGTTTCCTTCTAGATGTTTCTCAAGTATATCTAAGTGATGGTCACAATTAAATAGGCTCCCAGGTTTTGCTCTTTACCATTGTATGTAATGTGTTTGTTTTGGTCTGAGGTATGACTGTAGGTTTAGCCTTAAATGACAGCTAGAGAACTGCTTTAGGTGTGATTTTTAAAAAGAAAAGAAAAATCAGACCCACAGGGTGGAGAATGGAGAGGTGCATTAGAGCAAGGCTAAATGAAAACAAATCTGGTAGTTCCACCTTTAAAAGGAGAATGATAGCGTGGGTCATATTCACTTCTAGAGACAGAAGAACTCATAGTCATGACAACCTTGGAGAGGAGGAATCATAGAAACTTAGTGACAGATTGGGGATTAGTGGCATAACCAGCCATGGTGCTCAGGCTTCTTTTTATGTTATAATGTTATAATTCCTACCATCATAGAGCATCTTTGGGAAAAAAATAGTAAGAGAAAGAAGAAAGGGTACAGGATGATGAGGTCTGGTGTAAGCATTTACATCCCTGTACAAGACATCTATATGGAAATCAAGAACAGGCACTTGGATACCTGGGACTGCCTTTCAGAAAAGGTATTCATCCAAGGGAACTGAGGGGTCATTAGTACATGCTTGGTACCACTAAAAGTAATCTCCAAGAATCCTGAGGGACACCAAGAGATGAAAACACTAAGATGTCATCGAATGAAACCAAGAGGCTGGGGTTTCAGACTACGGCAATCCCTGTGATGAGGAAAGGAATCAATACCTCATGTTATTGCCAAGGGTGAGAAGACAGAAATTCTGCTCCACACACGCACACTGTCACTTACTGCTATCCAACATGTTCACTTTGCCTTCTTGGATTTCTATTTAGACAATCCCAGGATTAGTGACTTTGATGGAGAAAAGAATTTCAGAACTAACAAGTATGAAACGCAGTTGGTGGTTTATTGTGAAAAGCACTCAGGGAAAGAATAAGACATACTCAAGTGTACATAGGCATTTCTAATGGGAAATCACAATTCATTGTCTTAGTATTAGCATGTGTTTCGTGGCCCTGGAGCTACATCTCAAAGAGCCATGAAGAAAACTCTTGTTTTTTTCTGCCTTCTCTTTCTGATAAGTCCGAGTATGGGATAGCTCCAAAGATGCCTTGGATGGGCTTAGAATGTGATCTGGTAAAAACAGGAGCCATTAGAGCTGTGCACAAACATTCTGGTGAGATTTCTAGAAAACTGCAGGTTTGCAACTGGGAATGGAGAAATCAAATACTGTTCATTGTGCTAGAATTTTTGGTTCTCAGCTGTCTCTGAGAGGCTTCAACCAGACTCTATGATGAGGTGATGAGTGACTCATTTTCCTTCGGGTATCTACAGAATTTCCCGTCTTCCTAATATGTTTCAGTATCAGTGAAGGTCACTTACAAACCAAATCAGGAGAAAAGTCCTTAATTTAACTAGGGCAGTTTAGTTTACCAGTAGCCAAATGCTATGTTTAAACAGTCAGTGATGTCCCAATAAAGAAACTGAATGTCAGACAGCACATTAGCCTAACTAAGCTAGCTCAGTTGGTATAGCATGAGAATCTTAATCTCAGGGTCATGGGTTCATGCCCCATGTTGGAGGCCAAATGTAGATGGAAGTTTCTATCCCACCCAGTCCCACTGCCTTTTAGTCCCAAAGAAACAGAGGCTTCTATTAATCATAAACTGTTTGGCCAATGGCTCAGACTTCTTCTTGGCTAGCTCTCTCTAAAATTATTAACCCATTCCTATTAATCTGTGGATCTTCACATGGTCTTGGAATATTAATCTGAGTATTCCATTGCTGTAACAGATCATGACCCCAGAGATTTATAGCTATATCTACCATGTTTGGTTTCAGTCTCCCTTTCTGACCTTCCGGACCACCGAGTGAACACTCTGTTGAACTCAACCTCAGTTGAAAGTGAAAATTAATAATAAAGTTATTTATGGCTTAGTAGACACTGGGGCAAATGTGACTATTATTACCCAAAAGTCTTGGCCTCAGAAATGGCATCTTAGGCAAATGTACAATTTTTAGGAATTGGAACTCTATCTAGAGTTATTCCTCCAGTGTCAGATACAAATTATGTACAATCTTTACATAGTAGAAAAAGATCTGGTAAGACGCTACGGAAAACAATTACCAACCATCCATGCTGTGCAGAAACTAGGTACAAATGATGGACATTCACAGGAGCCAAAGGCCCTGCCATTGAAGTGGCTTACAGATGAACCTGTTTGGGTAGAACAATGGCCTCTGATCTCTGAGAAGCTAGAGGCTTTAGAAAAGTTAGTACAGGAACAGCTAGATGCTGGACATATAGAGAAATCTACCAGTCCTTGGAATTCTCCTGTATGTGTTATAAAAAAAGTCAGGTAAATGGAGAATGCTGACAGACCTGAGATGCATAAATAAGGTAATTCAACCAATGGGGCTTTCTGCAACCTGCAATGCCTTTGCCTTCCATAATACCTTAAAGGATGGCTGATCATAGTCATTGATCTGAAACACTGTTTTGTCACAATACCATTACAGGAAAATGATTGAGAAAAATTTGCATTTACTGTACCAACTCTTAATAATTCACAGCCAGTTAGGAGACATCAGTGGAGGGTTTTGCCACAAGGAATGCTAAATAGTCCTACTTTGTGACAGCACTTTGTACAGGAATCTTTGGAAATACTTCATAAGAAATTGTCACAATCTCTTGTTTATCGTTATATGGATGACATTCTTTTATCAGATTCTAATAAGGAGACTTTGGAAGGTATGTTTGACATGGTGAAGAATTTCTGCCTAGATGGGGGTTACAGATTGCCCCAGAAAAGATACAAAGAGGAGATTCTATTTAACTATTTAGGTTACAAGATTGACTTACAAAGAATCAGGCCACAGAAGGTAAAAATTAGGATAGATTGTTATCAAACTCTTAATTCTCTTCAGAAATTATTAGGGGAAATTTCTCAATTACAGACGATTGTTGGTATAGAAGGACATAACTTAAAGCATTTAAAAATGGCCCTTAAAGGTGATAAGGACCTAAACAGTCCTAGAATATTATCTTCTGAGGCAGAAAAAGAATTACAATGGGTAGAAAACAGAATATTGGATGCACATGTAGATCAGATAAACCTTACGATGAGCATGTAGAATCGATAAACCTTAATTTAGACTGTATTCTGGTTATCCTGCCATCCAGAGAATACTCTTCTGGAATTCTGATGCAGAGGGAAGACACTATATTGGAATGGATATTTCTGCCACATAAACAGAATAAAAAGTTAAAGACATATATAGAAAAGATTTCTGATTTGATTTTAAAGGGCAAATTAAGACTTCGTCAACTGACTGGGAAAGATCCAGCAGAAATTATAGTACCTTTAACTAATGAAGAAATTTCATTCTTATGGAAGGATAATGAATACTGGCAAATAGCTCTTACTGATTTTTTGGAAATGATTAGCAACAATTATCCCAAAACTGACAAAATTAAATTCATTTAAAAAAAAGACAGTCTGGATTTTTTCACGTATGGTAAGACAAACTCCCATTTCTGGAATTCTTACCTTCTACACTGATGCCA